ATCCAATCATGTCCGCCAAGTGGCGCGCGATACAGCACCGCCACCGTTACACCTACAGCGCCGTCGTGTTCCCGCCGCATTTTGTTCGGGAACTGAACCGAACTACCAACGACCACCCTTTCTTCATTGAATTGAAGCACCTGGTCTCGCTCAACTCCACTTACGCCCAGCTCGAACACGCTAAGAAAATCGCTGCCGCTCTTTCCAATTTGATATCAGATGGAAACGCAGATGAAAAGACGGTTTCCCGCGCTGTGAAATTGTATCTGGAAATCCTTTTCCTGGAGAACTCCCTGCCCTTGCATAGGACGCTAGCTTCCGTGCTGGCCAAGTTGAAGAACAATCGGAGTTTGATCGAGAGCCACTTTGAGCAGCTGTGCCATGAGTACGGTGGCGGGCAGATCCCAGGAGATGGGAAAAGATTCTGTGTTTCGCGGGCAGCACTCTCCATGATGAGCACGCCCAAGTTAGGCTACTTGGCTCAAGTAGTCGAACAATGCGCGGTTCTGGTGGGGTTAGATGTGGTCTCGAGTTTAGGTAGTGTTGTGAATGAAACAAATGAATGGTCAAGGCCTTCTCCACTTGTTATGGAACAGTGCCAGGAGGCACTCTCGTGTATGTACTACTTGCTTCAACGCTTCCCTGGAAAATTCAACAATGCAGGTGGGGAAAGTATTGCGTCGAATGATTCAAATGCCCTGGAAATGGTTTTATCAATCGTTTTGAGCGTCTTGAAGTCTCAGGCGTTTTCAAGAGATTGTTTGGTGGCAGCTGGGGTAAGTTTGTGTGCAGCCCTGCAGGTTTGCTTGAGTCCGGAAGAGCTTGGACTATTTATCATGCGAGGTATTTTTCGTGAAACTGGCATTCAGGGGGGTGAGATTGATTTTGATGCCGTGGTGGAGAAGATTCCGTATAAGGGTCATTTGGTTGATGAAATTTATAAATTTTCGGCGCTGAGTAGACTTTGTTTGATCAGGGGAATACTGACGGCTGTTTCTAGAACTGTCCTTGACACTCATTATGCAGTGTTGAATGATGGTGCGAACGGTGATGAAGATGAATATTTGGTGAAGACGATACTTTACGATGCTATTTTGCCCGAGTTGTGTAGATACGCCGAAAACCCTACTGACAGCCACTCAAATTTCCATGCATTGACCGTAATGCAGATATGTCTACAGCAGATAAAAACATTGCTCCAAGGCGACAGTGGGTGCACCCCAGATAATTATGATCCAATTCCCGAGGCTATGGGGGCTAGGACATTGAAGATTGTGTGGAATAACTTGGAGGATCCTTTGAGCCAAACTGTTAAACAAGTTCATTTGATCTTTGATCTCTATTTAGACATTCAGTCCAGTCTTCATTGGGCAGAAGGTAGTGAAAATATAAAGTTGTTCTTGAAGAGGATTGCATTGGATCTTTTATGTATGGGGCCACGTTGCAAGGGAAGGTATGTCCCATTAGCCTCACTTACTAGGAGGTTGGGCGCCAAGACTATTATTGAAATGAACCCGGATTTGCTCTCTGAAACAGCAAAAGCGTACGTTGATGATGATGTGTGTTGTGCGGCCACAACTTTTCTCAAGTGTTTCCTTGAGTGTTTGAGGGACGAATATTGGAGTAGTGATGGAGTTGACAATGGATACACAAAATACAGAGGCTACTGCTTGCTGCCATTTTTGCACGGACTAGCATTTGGATTCGCAAAGCTAAGGTCGAACTTGAACACATATGCATTGCCTGTTCTTTTTGAGTTAGACGTTGACAGTATATTTTCTATGCTTACGTTAATTGGGATCGGTCCAATTGAGGGCCCGTTATTTTCTCATAATGATATCAGCAGCAAGGAGATGGATCTTGGGCTGGAACAGAAAATTGCTGTTTTGGTGTCATTGCTCAAGGTCTCTCGTGTTCTTGCATTGATGGAAGGTGACATTGATTGGTATGAGGAGTCATCAATTTCCCCTGAAGCTGCAGTGCTTGATCTTGAAAACTGCAATTTACACTGTGCTGTTTGTATAAAGGGCATCGAGGTAAAATTCCCAGTCAGGTGGGTCATATTAGCTTTGACCCACGTAGACGAGTCACTCCGCATGGATGCAGCAGAAACTCTGTTCTTGAACCCAAAAACAGCCAGCTTGCCTTCTTCTTTGGAACTTAGTCTGATGAGAAAGGCTGTGCCCTTGAACATGAGATGTTGTTCAACTGCTTTCCAAATGAAGTGGAATAGCTTATTCAGGAAGTTCTTTTCTCGGGTCAGGACTGCATTAGAGAGACAACTTAAGGTAGGAACATGGAAGCCTCTTGTATCGGCTGTAGATTCGAATGGAGTTTGTTTGCATAGAGGATCAGAAAACATTATAAAACACAGGGCTGAGAATCTTTTTGATTTTACCAAGTGGCTGAGTTGTTTCTTGTTTTTCTCCTGCTATCCTTCTGCACCATATGAGAGAAAGATAATGGCAATGGAGCTCATATTGATAATGTTGAATGTTTGGCCTGTGGTCCCAACACTATCAGAAAATAAGGATAATTTTTATTCTGAAACTAGCCTGTACCCATACAGTAGAAGTTTAGCTCTACCCGATTCGACCCTGCTGCTTGTTGGATCAATTGTTGATAGTTGGGACCGACTGAGAGAGAATTCATTCCGTCTTTTACTATATTTTCCTACCCCCCTTCCTGGCATCAGTAATCCAGATATGGTCCGTGAGGCAGTTATGTGGGCTAAACGGCTAATATGCAGTCCACGTGTACGCGAAAGTGATGCTGGGGCCCTCATGATGAGGCTTCTCTTCAGGAAGTATGTGTTGGAGCTGAGGTGGATAGTTAGACCATCGTGTAATTTTGTATCTTTATGTTCCAAGGCGGAGCTGCCAAATGGTGCCCATTGCATGCCCAGCTCACCCGTGGTAACTTATCTGGTATCACTTATTGATTGGCTGGTTTTTGCTGTGGAAGATGCTGAAAAGAATCTTTCGGAAGCATGCAAGAATAGTTTTGTTCATGGGATATTGCTGACTCTACGGTATACGTTTGAGGAGCTGGATTGGAACTCTAATGTGTTTACGCATAGCATGTGCCAAATGAAAGATGTTTTAAAAAGGCTGTTGGAGTTGGTCATGCGAATAACTTCTTTGGCCCTTTGGGTAGTTTCGGCTGATGCATGGCACTTACCTGATGATGATATGGAAGAGATGGAGGATGATGAGATGTTCCCTGTTGAGGTTCCAGATGAAATTGATTCATCTGGACAGAAATCACAGGTTGGAGTTAAAGTTACGAAAGTTGACGAGCAGATTGGTCTCTCTGACCAGATTGTTATGGTTGGTTGCTGGCTTGCTATGAAAGAGGTGAGTGTACCATTATATTTATATTTAGTTTATTTAGTTGAGAGGGCCATCAGGTCATTGTGTGGCGCATGAAACCATTTCCTTCTCTGTCATTCTTTGTTTCTTTTTTCCCTTTTTGTTTTTGTTTTTGTTTTTGTTTTTGTTTTTGTTTTTGTTTTTGTTTCTGTGTTTCTCAGATGAATAATGCAATAGGGATGCTCAGAGAATGACAATGCTGTTTATTCTATAAAATTTCTATGGTTCGAGTTTGATACTGTTTGTCTGAATTTTATTTTCAGGTGAGCCTTCTTCTGGGGACAGTAATAAGAAAAGTTCCTTTACCTACTTCTGATGAAATGCGTAAAGCAATTGCTGCATCTACTGATGAATCTGGTCTACCATCTGATGTGATGCTTGATTTACAACAACTCGAGACAATCGGCAACCATTTCTTGGAAGTCCTTCTCAAAATGAAACATAATGGTGCAATCGATAAGACAAGGGCTGGGTTCACTGCACTATGCAACCGTTTGCTTTGTTCAAATGATCCAAGGTACTTGTTTTTATGTTTTACATACTTCTACTAGCATCACTTAGTGATGTCACTAAACATATCAAAATCCAATATAATTTACTTCTTGAGCTCTAACTCATTTCCGACATGAATACGATACCGGAGACCATCTTAACTGTTCTTCATTTCTAAACTGAGCAATTATTTCTAATTTTCTGTCTCGTCAATTCATGTGAATATGACTTTTTGTTTTATCGAAAATTAATTTAATAATTAATGTTGTCATTTTTTCAGTGTTCTCAGCCCCCTGTTTATGATTTTTTTTTTAATGTTTATTTTTATATTCAGGCTATGTAAATTGACAGAGTCCTGGATGGATGTACTAATGGAAAGAACCATAGCCAAGGGACAGACAGTGGATGACCTGTTAAGAAGAAGTGCAGGTATACCCGCTGCTTTTATTGCATTTTTCCTCTCTGAGCCCGAGGGCACACCCAAAAGGCTACTCCCTAGAGCACTTAGCTGGCTAATAGATGTAGTTAAGAAGTCGTTGGCCAATTCAAAAACCAAAGCAAACATCTCGGGTGGTCCAAACGGCACAAAAGAAACATCAAAGTTCCGGGACGAGGGCGTGGTCCCCACCGTGCATGCTTTCAATGTTCTGAAGGCAACTTTTAATGATACGAACCTGGCGACTGATACCTCGGGCTTTTGTGCCGAGGCAATGATAATCTGTGTGCGCTCGTTCTCTTCTCCATATTGGGAGGTCCGCAACAGCGCGTGTCTCGCGTATACTGCTTTGTTACGTCGCATGATTGGGTTTCTGAATGTGCATAAAAGAGAGTCGGCTAGGCGGGCCCTAACAGGGCTTGAGTTTTTTCACAGGTGAGATTGCTCGAGTGTCTGAGTATTTTTATGGGCTTGTTATGCATGGTTTAGGTGTGTATGACATTTGATAATTGTTGCTCTTGGTACTTTACCTTTTAGATTAAAAAAAAACAAAAAAAAAAGGAAGAAAATTTAAAAATTTAATCAATCTTTTTAATATCTAGATGCAAAAATTTCGATAATTTTCTTCCTTCACTTCCTCCATACCTTAACCAACATTTATCAGCTCCTATAAATTTTCTTCTTTTAACCTGACTCATGAAGGTACCCGACATTGCACTCATTCCTGATGGACGAACTGCAAGTGGCCACTGAATTTCTTCCCGAAGGATCACCCAAACGAGCCATGTCCAACCTGAAAAACGATGTTCACCCGAGCCTGTGCCCAATGCTGATACTTCTCTCCCGGCTCAAACCTTCTCCGCTTTCAAGTGAAACCGGAGATCCTTTGGACCCTTTTCTTTTCATGCGTTTTATCCGAAGATGTTCGTTCCAAACCAACTTCCGAATCCGTGTACTTGCATCCGGAGCTCTAACGGGCCTTGTATCCAACGAGAAGCTGCCAACTGTCATCTTCAACATGGCCTCGGAGCTGCCTTGTTATGAAAACAATATTATAATGTCATCGAATTCGATTCACGGAATGTTGCTACAGCTGAACTTGCTTCTCGACACCAACTGTCGAAATTTGTCTGACCCCTCCAAAAAGGACGAAATACTCGAAAAATTGGTTCGAATACTAAAGACACGCTCGTGGATTGGGAGCCCACAGCAGTGCCACTGCCCGACACTCAATACGTGCTTTCTGAAAGTGCTCGATAACATGCTCGCTATTTCAAGAACCTGCCCAACGAGCAAAAGCATGGGGCCCACTTGGAAAATCCTCCACGATTTGTCTTCAGAATGCGTGGATTTAAAGTCGGCCCATTGCCAGCTGTATTTTGACCCAACTGTTCAGGAGCTTCGCAAGCAAGCCGCAGTTTCCTACTTTAATTGCATTTTCCATACTTCGAAAGCAATAGGAGATGGTGAATTTCGGTCGAGGAAAAGCTTTTCCTCACCTGATAATAATAATTTGTTCGAAGCAGTTGAAATGGAGGGTGCTTTTGCCGGATTTCAGGAAAGATTAATTCGCTCGATGTCCGATCCATCATACGAAGTGCGAATTGCAACATTAAAATGGCTTCATTTGTTCCTGGAGAGAATCGAGCTGTATGGTGATTGTGGGGAGGACCATTTTTACTGCGAGGCTGTGAGGATATGCTCAACAGATATCAATCTTCAGGATACAGTCATGAAGCTTCTGGTCTCTGAGAAGCACCATAAATGCAAGCATTACCTTTTGAAAATTCTCTACACTTGGAACTCGCTCCAGTCTCAAGACGACACCCAATTATCAATCTCTGGGCCGAGATATGTTCGTAATATGGACTGCAACTCCGTATTCCAGTTATGGAAAGAGTTGGTGTCCTTTTTAGAGATCACAAGGCATGCAAAGACCCGGCAAACGCTCATCTGCTGCTTGGGAATATGCGCCAAGCAAATTTCCAACCTTTTCATGAACCGAAAATCTGACGACCCTAGTAGCAGATCATTTTCACATTTTTACGAGGCGTTGAGTTACTTTGTGGGCCTGATAGAACAATACAGCGAAGCTTCACAGCCCGTAAATATGCGAAAGGCAGCTGCCGACTCATTGATAGCTTCTAACTTGCTGGCACAGGCCGAGGCCCTTGGCGCGTTAATTTCCAAAAATAGCCTTTCTTCTCATTTTTTTAAGGTAGAAGATGATATCAGACTCTACACTCGCAAGGTGCTCGATTTATGGTCGACGTGCGTGAAGCTTCTGGAGGATGAAGATGCCGAGCTCCGGAAAAAACTCGCTCTAAACATACAAAAAATTTTCCTGTCGAGAAATTCCTCCCTAGATGCCATAGCTTCCAGCCAAGTCGAGAAAGTGATCGAGTCATGTTTCGAGCATCTGTCGAGAATATTCGGACACTGGCACGATTACTTAGATTATCTCTGCTGTTGGGTGCTAATTGCCGCTAATAGCTCAAAAAACTATGTCGTCTCGGGAGAAAACCTCGTCCGGCGTGTTTTCGACAAGGAGATCGACAATCATCACGAAGAAAAGCTCTTAATTTGTCAACTAATCTGTTCACATTTGGGAAAAATTCCGGTTTCGAAAGAACTCGAGGCGAGGGATGTTTTGCGTAAATGGAGGACAAAAGTTTTCGAGCAGTTGGTTGAGTTTGCTCGTGAGCGTGTCGAGAGAAAGGGATGTGTAGGGTGGGTCGGTGGGCTCGGTAATCACAAAGACACGTTTTTGCAAATATATGCGAATTTGCTCGGATTTTATTCCCTGTCGAGTTGTGTTCTGAACGATTATGGAGATAACGGGCATATGGTGTATGAGGTTTCGACGATCGGTGAAGCGATAGGTCCGTTTATCGGTAATCCTTTGATTTGCAATTTGTATTTGATGGTTATTAGGTTGTATGAGAAGTGTTTGGGTAGGGCTGTTGTGGATAGTTTGAGAGTAAAACTGAGAGAGAGGGATGATTCTGGTTGGGATGAGTTTAATCCTTATTTTCTGCTCAAGTGAATATGAAAATGATGATTTTTGTATCATCGTATGTACACTATTGTGTTTTTAATTTATACACCTAATTCCAAAGTTTTTTCGGTCTTTCCGAATGATTATTTATTTGTTAATTTATACAATATATGCGCGTTATTTAAATATCGTTCTCCCTAGAAAGTACTAAAACGATTAAAAGAAAAAAGAAAAAATAATATCTCCTGCACGAAATATATATGATATACGACCCAAAATCTGAATAATGCAAACAAACAAGCAGCAAAAAAGAGTCGCAAAAAAGAGTCACAAAAATGGCTGCACAACAACAAAATTTATATTTGTTCATAGATCACACGATATGAAAACAACTGCAAAACTGTTTCTTGCCACTTTACCTAACATAAACCCGACCGGGCACCGGTAAAAAGATCCAACGCATTTTTTAAGTTCATAAAACCCCCCAAAAAAGTTACAGTTGTAAGTATATGAGGTTAATTTCTTACAAGTAATCTCCACTGCCATCTTTACTCGTCCTCATCATCTTCCTCGGTGTCTTCGTTTTCACCCTAATAACCAATTTATTAAGATAAAAGAGTAAGATAACCAGCTGAAAATCCATATCGTTTCTTCATAAGCAACAAAATATCAAAACCAGCCGATAATTTTTAATTACGTGTGGAAAATTATGAAAAGAGGATGCGTAGTTTTCTAGCTTTTCTTACATCATAGTCCTCATCATTGTCGGTATCATCATCATCATCATCAGTACCATCATCATCATCATCATCATCATCATCAACCTGCATTCATTTAGCTTCCATATAAGAGAACTAATACTAGGATTTCTTTATGTTTCAGTTTTAATAGATTATAATAAGGTAAAAAAATGTTACATTGTTAAGGTGCTCGATCGGGTTCGCCCATATTTCTTCCTTAATTAGCTCCGCAACCTGCAATTACGGACAACATTTTCAAAACAATTCAGATTGTGGAATGAATATATATATTTTTTTTCCTTCTGTTGCAATAACGAAAAAATATCTCAAGTAAAATAAGTACTTAATGTGTGCCTCACCGGATCTCGATCCACCTCCAATGTATACTCAGGGCGAAACTCAAACCAGTCAAAGAAGCTGGCATTTTTCACAAAAGTGTGCTTAGTGAGATTAACATAAATTATAGGCTTTGTCAATTTATTCGAGCTCTCAATATCAGTATTAGTCGAGGCAATAAATAAGTAATACCTATTTGGAGATGATGACCTTTTGTTTCTTTCCTTCATATAATTGCTGATGTCAGATGGGCCCTAGCCATGCACAAGTCACTATATAGCTTAGAGAAGTAGAAGAAGAATGACCAAAAAAGGAGGTAAAAACGGTTTATCTCACCTTGCCCGGCTTCCATCTGATAGTCGTGCCAGTTGACTTCAGAGTCCCATTGTCAAAAAACTCCATGGTCTTAGTCAGTTTGGTGTTATCAAAATATGGGTTGGGCTTGAAATTCTGTGAGCTCGAAAAGAAGAAAAAAAAAATTGTACTAAATAAACAGCTATTTATAATACGCTGATGTAAGAACTAGAAACTCAGTTCTTTTCTAAATGGAAAGAGAGAGAGAGAGAGAGAGAGAGAGAGAGAGAGAGAGAGAGAGAGAGAGATGAAAAACTTACAAATGTGATGCAATAACCCATTCTTTCATCTTTAAAGTTCTCCACATGAAGAGTATCCAAGTACTTAAATATCTGGATCACACGAACGACAAATTAACACAATCACCAAATAAATAGTAAAGCTAAGTAAAGATATATATATATATTGTGTTTTGACCTCTCGATCGTCCATGTTCAAGAGATCTTCAATAGTAGGATGACTCAAGAGCTGCAACAAGAAAAGATGGCATTTGGAGATTTATCATTAATTTTAACAAAAATTAGTAAAGAATTAAGAATCGACTTGTATACTCACCGAAGTTGACCAAAAGTCTGGTATTCCACTGAGGATCTTATCTCTCCTTACGTAAAAGGGATCCCGAATTTGATCGTATTTTTTTTCCATAGCCAATATCTCGTGGTTGGCTTCTTCGTTAATCTACATAAAATCGAAGTTCAAAATGAAAATGCATTTCCCCAACTCGTTCTTTTTATTATTTAGTTATACTGAAATGACGATGAAGGGACTATCGGAAAAATATAACAGATACGAACAATATCTCATAAAAGTTATTTGAGTAATGATAGAAAAAAAGAGACAGAAAAATAAAAAAAAAAATAACTCATGATATAATGTTTTGCATGGGGCAGCAAACAATTACTCGGATAATAAAGGTTCGATCATTGTACCCGACTTAAATAGGAATACCTCATAATTAAACATATTCAACTCGGTTTTACTTGGGATGGGTCCCACTTCGGAATATAGTTCCTGAATAATATTTGTCAAGTTCTTCCTCTGTATTATTCGTGGAAATCTATCACGAAACAATTGCTACGATCTAAAATGAACTTATGTATAATTATTTATCAGTGTCCATATTAGCGAGTTGTATATCATATCTAACGATAAACGGAAGTTCAAGTGAATTATGAAAAAAGATAACAATACCCAGCAACGATGTTATCATAGTAATCAATAGAAATAATATCCCAATTATAAGCATCTCACTCACCAAGTAATGAGAATCTTGATTATTATATCACAACATGTAGCTCATTTATGTTTATGAAGATCATACATTTCCAAAAGTACTTATTTGGTCATTATTATCACGATGTTCGAGTTGAAAATAAGAGCAAGTAATTAACACAACCGAGATCATGCAACGTGTATGAGGGGAAATTTTACACACAAGATGATATAAGAAAACACACACATTCATATTAAAATACACATGAAAAATTATAATTTTAACATGTGTGTGCTTAACTTCATACAATTTTCTTTTACAGGCTTAATTTCTACCAATTTATCGTACGTTCTAGACAACATCCCCCGATATCCAGCTTTAATACCACATTATGGAAAAAAAAAAAAAAAATACAATTTGTTCAAGTACATTGAGCAAATACAAACCCATAAAATTCAATGTTTTGCATTTCCGAAATTGACACATCCATTCAATCGGCAAAGAGCATCATATATAAATATATAATGCATCCGAATTTAATCGCAATTCAAATTGTTCCTTTATAAGCCA